AATATTCACAACAATTTACAATAGACAACTTATATTGCCATAGGAAAAGCGAGATATTTTCTTTTGCTTTTTGCCATCAGATTCTGGTGGGTACCTATACCACTTTACTATGAATATAATCGATGTACGGTATATACTCATAATTACACCAAAGGAATTCATGGACGTAGCCGTAGTCGTAGCTATAACCTACGCTTTATCGATATTTCTTATGAATCTGTTTATATTCTTTTAAAATTAATTGTTTTTTTTTATTTATATATTTTATCAAACATTCTGGTTTGTTTTTCTTTTAGAAATAGCATTGTTTGTATCAATTCGACATTTTGTAAATTTCGTTTAACTTTAATAATTCAGCAAACAAAAACAACTAAAAGCATTGATTAAATATGTAAATGATAAAAAATGATTAATTTTAAAACAATATCAACAGATTCCTGTGTAAAACCCATAAAGCGTAGGTTTTAGCTACATCCATGAGTTAGGCGGTCGCGCCCCTGATGTGCTCCGGGGATCTGCTGTTTTGTATCACCGCCGTCAGCTCTACGAACCTAGAAAGGTTGCATGTAGGTACACCCGAGTGCACCTCCGGTTACCACAATATTTATATATACTCTTAATACAAAATGCTTAAAAAATCCACTTGGTCCCTGGTTCGGGCGACTGCTCTAACCACTGAGCTACCCAGGACCTAACAGGACTGACCACAGAAATATATTTATTTCTGTGGGACTGACGAATCTTTCAAGCACTTGTTACTTTTTAGCTACTGAAAAGCGTATTCTCATCAATGTTCAGGCATCCCCAAACAGCCGAAATAAATGTTATTACAAATATTGAAACTATCGGTAAAGATGATAATTTGATAAATTTCGCATTCACAATGCTATACTAAAAAATATTCTAAATACAAAATACTTAAAAAATCCAACGCTCTGTAGTAGTAAGCGAAAAAGTGACAAGTTATTTCTGATCTGATTGAGTTAAGTAGAAATTTGAGGTACGAGTAATTAATTACATATAATGTACGGGCAAGTTGGAAAGGAGTTAAAAAAAATACACAACGGACAAAAAATGCAATTGTATCGACAAAAGAAAAGAAAATGGAATCGCGGAAACTAAACATTTTACAGAAATATAAAGAAATAATAAAATCTCAGTATCTCGAAAAAAATTCGAAAAATTTAAAAGGCCGCCCCGGGCCTCTTATCCTGAGGGGCCTCCAAATGGCTGAAAGTTCCTTGATCAAATCATAAATTGGGGTTGTACTGCCTTATCTTTCTTAGTTTCGTAGTCTTAGCAGGCGTCTTAGCCGGGGAGGCGGTGTAAACACAAAATCAAGTTTCTGCACCAGTTGTAAAAAGTTGTAGGTACGGACCTAATGCCGCCCTGGGCCCCCGACAGTGTTAGTCCGCCACTGATCCGGTAAATATAAGTATGTATAAATACAGACAGAGGTGTCCATTTATTATAAGTTAAAAGTAAGTAATATGGATCAGTGATAAATTCTATTATAAAAAGAAGTTATTTTGAATAATTAAACCTACTTCAAAAAAAAGTTAATAAATAGAAACGACTTAAGAGAGAGAAATAATACTTACTATAAATTTTTATCTTCAATAAATTCAAAACGCACAAGGTGGATACACCAACAATTTTTTTGAGGTCGGTGCCAGATATTTATAAGAATAATATCACGTATAGTAGGTAAGAGAAAAATAGATTTTCTGATAGTGTTATTTTACTATACAAATGACACGTCTGACACACACCCCTTTTGAAGTTAATAATTTGTGGTATTATTTCTCTCTTTTAAGTCATTATTACGATTTTTTTGTAGTCTTTTTTTTTATTGTTTTCCCTATCCGAATCGATAAAGTGAACATGTATCAATAAAATGATGAAAGAGAAAAGTAGTTAATTTGTACTTACTTTATTTTTCATTATCTCATGTAATTATAAATAAGCATTAAGATCTATTTGTTTAGTTTTGTTTTAGAAAAAAATGTTGATAGAAAAAATTGTTCACAACAATTAGGATAATAAAAAACCTGTTGTTATAAATACTTATTCATAGTTTCGATAAATAAATAAGGCGTAAATATTTTGGATTTTTTTATCAAGCTTATGATTGACAAAATGTTAAAAAAAAAACAATATACATTATATTGGCCGATATCAGAACTTGGGACGATGCATTGATTTAAACCAATATTACTTGATAAATACTTTATTTCACACTGACTCGCCATTCATCGGTGTTACATTTCTGCCATCTTTTATTCTATTGCCAACAATAAAAAAACAATACTGTCATAGTTTTTTCGCAAGATGTCGTTTTCAATACAATCAATGTTCTAATTTTTCTTACATTTAGGTTTGTAAATTATTAAATTGAGTTTGTTTAATCATAATTACCTTTTTGAAATACATAAACATATAGTTGAACGACATTAGAAGTTACTTTTTATAATTAGTACCCTTTTATAACATTGTATACTTAAATTAATATCATACTTTTAATACGCAGTGATCAATATTAATCCTTTATTTGTAACAATATTAATAAAATACAGTAAGTAATAATAATCTGTACAGTTTACGAATACAAGTAAATGAATATGTGCAATCATGGAAATTACGTGTTTTAATACCTTGTAATATTTCGTACAATTATATTCTCAAGTCAATACTACGCTTATTAATTACAGTCATCGTTATTTTACAAGTATTTATCTATTAATCAAAGTAATAAGTATAACTATATTAATAAAAGGCTTACAATTATATCTTAAAAACTATATTATATCGAATTTTGTCCAATTTAGATAAAGATTTTTGGCGAAAATATTTCTTTTTGTAAAATATTAGGTACAATTCGTTAAAATAAAACTTGTTGATATCCAAGCTTTAACTGCCGTACTCAGAAACGTTAATAAATAATATAATGTCGATTATATTTTTTATGCATACAAAAACTTGTCAAAAACTATCTTTATTTGTATCGTGTTAAGTCCTATAAGCTACCATTAAAATTAAAGGACGTCTCGTGAGTGTGGCTATTACAAATGTTACAGCTTTTGATCAATTGCACAAAAGTTCAATAGGGTTTAATGACGCCTCTATGAAGCTCTAATGAATGTCAAAATTGTATGAGTAATGTCGTATTAAGCTAATGATAATTTTAACGGACGTTTGTGCAACTGGCTGTTTGTCCCTTTGATTATACTTACTTGTCCTCTATCGCCTTTATCCAAACAAACAGTTTTTCAGTGTTGGTGTCAAAAGAGTGACTAATTTTACTTCTATTTCCTTAAATTAAAAGTTCATTAAATTTTTGCATGCAACAATATATTTCAACGAATCTCTTGGTTATATTTTTTCAGAACATATTTTCGGCGTATAAACCGCACCGATACTGCACCGATAATGTGACGCAATTAATTTTTAACTCGATAATTGTATTTAAGTACTCTTTTTAAAGATATTCCATTTTCAAATAAAAACTAAAAAAGGTGACTTTCGAAAATAGGATTTTCTTTTTCTATAAAGTTCTTTCTTATTTCGATTTTATGACCAAAGTTAAAAAAATCCATGTATCTATCGGATCGAAATTATATGGAAGTTGATTTCGAAATACTGAGCTTTATGATAATTTGATTAAACAGTTTTCACTGCAGGTAAACGAACGGATTATTTATGAATAATGGTTTTTAAGTAATTAGGAAATTAACTTTAAAAAAATATCCTGTGATAATGTTTAGGAAGAGTAAGCTCATGACTACCATATTAATGACTAAAAAGCATTATTTTTCTTCATTAAGCTTTCTGTTTTTAATCAAGGTCAGTAAAACGATAACAATACTCTGAGCTATATGGGTCCTCATAAATGAAGGAATTTAAGCTGATTTTATATTCCTACTGTTTAGCCGACTTGGACGTTATCTGTGTGCGAGAGGGAGTGGTGTTTTCCATCTCGCTCGCTCGCGTGCATACTCCCCCCGCACGTCTCCCGCATATATTTTCTTGCATCGCGCCTCGGCTACCCCACCTCCATGCCTCACCTCGGTTGGTGTGTTTCCAATGCAACACGGCATTATTTATTATATTTCTGAGTTTTTTTATTATTATTTATAACTAGTAGACCCGGCGAACTTTGTACCAAAAATACCTAAATATCATCGACATCAAAACCACCAAGGGGACGAATACTAAAATTTTACAGATCCTTTATACAAGACCATGCATTATGCATGTCAGAGTAAAACATTTTTTATTGAAGGTTAAGCACAGTAACGGAGAAGAATAAATTAGAGAAGATTTTATTAGATAGAATCCTGAAGGAATTTAAAAAAAAATAAAAAGTTATTATTTTTTTCCAAAATTCTACGAAACTTTTAACCTAAGTTTGGATAGTTTCATGCTTTATTATTTTGAAAAACATTTGATGACAGTGCCGTGTGACCACATAAGTAAATTAATAATCGTATAACAATGACAAAAAATAACGTAATCTTGTTTCAAAGAAATATTTTACCTTCTTATTATTAGGTTTAGTGAAATAGTGGTATTGTTATTTCTTGACGATATTTCGTAAGTGTAAAAAAGTGATAATATTATCAATTTAAAATCATGTTTCGTCTTTATAATAAATTTGTAGTATGTTATTTACCTTTAAAGAAAACGTAAAGTAAGTATTTTTAATTAGTTTTAATATAAAATGAAATTGAGTAATTAAACATATATTAGTAAAAATATCATATTATCCGTCATTTGGGTATAATGGAAAACGTTTAGCTGATTCTCGGTAATCGCACGAAGTCGTAAACAGCCCGGAGCGGCCTCGCGCCATACTACGTTACTGTCCACCAATCCTGCTTGCGTTTGCTTGTATATCACGCCATAACCGACCAATCAGCGAGTGCCTTTATCACGCTACATCCAAAAATAGCTTATCTGAGTCATGGAATAAAAGCCGTGGTTGTTTCTGTACAATGTTTAGAAACAAGTGGAACGTTGGACGGAGAGGACGTGTGTTCGTGTTTAAAAAGTTTTGAAGTTTGCGCAGTGAATTTAGTGTTACCGAAGCATTCATTGGAAACACATGGTTCGGCATTCCGGCCACGGCATGGAGCCTACTTTTTATGAGGAACAGTATCCCTTGAGCGGACCTGTGGAAAGTTTGAAGAGGTCTCTCACCCTGGACTTGGATATAGGACGGGGAGGGAAGAGGTCGAGGGTGGCCGCTCCCGTGCTCTCGTCACCGGATCTCCATATGCTGAAGTTGGGGTCACCCGAGTTGGAAAAGCTGATTATACAGAACGGGATGATCACATCGGCGACTCCGACTCCTGGTGCTGCTCTGTTTCCGGCTGCGGCTCCAACTGAGGAACAGGAGTTGTATGCTCGACCGTTCGTCGAGGCGTTGGACAAGTTGCATCACGGCGAACCCGCGCCTATGGGCCGACGTGTGTACGCGGATCTCGACCGACCACTGGAGCGCTATCCAACGCCGGTAGTGAAGGACGAGCCGCAGACCGTGCCGAGCGCTGCCAGCTCGCCGCCGTTATCACCTATTGATATGGATACACAAGAGAGAATCAAACTGGAACGTAAACGGCAAAGGAATCGAGTGGCAGCCTCTAAATGTAGACGGCGGAAGCTCGAGCGTATATCCAAATTGGAGGAAAAAGTGAAGGTGCTAAAAGGCGAGAACGCGGAGCTGGCCCAGATGATCGTGAAGCTGAAGGACCACGTGCATCGACTGAAGCAGCAAGTGCTGGAGCACGCCAACGGCGGCTGCCACATCGAGACGCATTTCTGATCGCGCCGCCCTCGCCGCTCCTACACATTCCAAACTAGTCGCGCCCATTAGGACGCAGCATACAAAGCGATTTGTGATCTTAATTTTATTGTGTAATATATAGTTTAATGAACACTTAGTGTAAGGTGTTAAAGTCGCTACATTGAGAATGCTGTGGATTTATCGTTAAGTTTTGAGAGATTAGGATGCCAGTGATGTGTTATGGCAGAACCCCCGCTCGGAATAATGCAAGTAAACGTCCGTATGTTTGTTGGAGGTGAATAATGTACTTAGCACGAGTCACAACTACGTAAGCTTTAGCTTCCATTGTAAGTTGCAGAATTGTTTTCTATGTATCAGTATTCTGTTGTCTCATTATTAGTGTAGTGTAGAAATTAGAAAAAATAATCTTGCTACGTCACTCATGTTTAGTTAGACTGAACGAGGTTGAAGCGGCGTTGCCAGTTTTACAGCAAATTTCCCGTTTCCACAATGTTGCCGTTCTTACGACACTGAACTGGGGATTTCCATTGTTCAGATGTAGTTCCATTTAACGCAATACCTATAGTATGCATTTTCCTTAAGTGTTTTATGTTAATCGGTGGCATTCAAGTCAATGATTATGAGAATAGAGGCGTTTAACAAAGAAGAAAGAAACGCTCTACAGGTTATGACAGGACCGTACACAGCTGGCGCAAAAGAGACAGCTACATTGTAAAACTGACAACAGCGCATAAAACCCAAGTCACGAGCGGATGTTCTGCTAATTAAAATTCCGCCTGCGCCGCCCTCGCGGAATGGCGGCCATGTGTTTAACTGTCGGACGTTCCGAATCACGATTTGGTTGCACAAGGTTAAGTTTTTTCTTTGTAATTATGGTGTTTCAGCGCCATAATAAAAGAACGTTACGCTCGCTATTAAGACATGTTATGTGCTTGCATGAGAGACTGATCGAATCTAAAATTGGGATCGGTGTGCCTTGTATGAAAGAGAAAGCGTGTATTGCGCAAAAGTATTTTTCCCCCAATGTAAGAAATGTTTTCTCAGAAGTGACCCGGTGCTCTTAATTATAGAGGACGCGACTTTTGTAACGCGAGGCCGTCCGATAAATATTATTTGTGAACGTATAAAGAGAACATTTCGTGAGTGCGATCGAGTGATGTATGAGGACGGATGATTGTGACAAGTAAATATTTATTGGTGAGAGTGTAGATTACCTTTAGGATGAAGTAGCAATCTCGAGTGCCTACGCTTTGTAAACTAAAGCCTATAATAATAATGTTTAAATTGTTTTTTGTTACCATGAACGTGTGCTACAGTCATGTGCTGTACCGTTGTCTTCTATAGATATTAAGTAATACCAATTAACAAGTTGATTGTTATATTCGGGGAGCTCGCCGTGGTGAGTGCGTGCCCTCTGTTGTTTACCGAACGCACACGGCCAGCTATCCTGTTTGTATTATTTTTATACAAAAGATTCGTCAGAATGTTAACAATAATTTGTAAGTTTATAATGATAGAGAAACAGTTATACTAAAATAATATATTTCTATGAATTTAACAAAGAATATTGTTTTATACTGAATACATATTGTATGATAAAATGGATGAAGAGAAAAATAAATTATGAAGATTATTATACCCTTTAAACTTTATTTTATTTATTCCTTTATATGTGTTGATGAAATTTTAGAAGTTAATACTTATTTACGAGAAAGTACCTGCTTTTCGATATCAATGAACTAATAAAAATGATATGATATTTTTATCAAACACAATGATAATATTATAACGTAACAGTCTGTACCAATTCCCTTAATAAAAGTTCTTTGACGCTATTTTATTGAACTGACGGTTCTAATAAACTTATATATTCATCTTTATATTTTCTATGTTTTTTTATCACCACGTGTGGTGACGTAATATCAAAACCCGTTTATTTGTAAAGATTGGATTATGTAATTGATATAATAATATGTGTAGCTAAAATCTTATCACATCCAAACACGCCTCCTGAAATTATATCAAAAGATTTCGATCTATTGAAATAGTTTTATTGTGCGGATGAATAAATATTAAAAACAAAACTATAAAAAAAAACGTAGGTACTTAGGACATAATCAAAATACTTTGATTGATAATGCTAAAAGCACGACTTACTGATGGGACTTCACTACAAAAAGAAATATTTATTAATTTATACACAATAAAATTACATCTGTTGAGAAAATTTAATAAATCCACTTTATAGCCTTCATCGAGAAATATGATACAATTTTGACATTTTATAGTTTATTCGAACGTTAATAGTTTTTTTTGTTCACGATCTATTTGTTTAGTGACATGCCTTTGAAATAACATGATCAACATTTTGTAGATAGTAAACAGTTCGGTTTTACATAACTAACAAAACGAGTTTTTATTGTAAACAAACAAGTAAAGACATCGTGCGTCGTCACACTTTCGTGACAGTTACATGCTAAAACGATTCGTGTATTCCGGATTACTGAAATATACAGGATATCCGGAATCGCCGTAAAAGAATTCACGTGATTATATATTTCTTTAGCTATTTATTTTTATAAAACGTTTATGTAGGTCACCCGCTCGTCCGTCAAAGCTTAGCCTACGCATTGTTCCTGTAAAAACATAATCGCAGTATTTACTAACACAACCGCGTGTTTAAACAATGTGCCACTGTATGTGGCTACTGTATTTACATAAATATCTATATTTATACTTAACGATTTTATACAATTACCATTGTTGATATAGGTCCGTTTCTGTTATGAAACATCCAACTTTATGATAACTACCTACTTACGAGCTTAGTACATCTATGTTATATAACTATCTTTAAGCTTAAAGCTCGTAAGTGAAAGAATTTTTATAATCAGATCAGTATTTCCGAAGACCGCTCCCTCCCTACAAACAAACAAACAAGGTTAGAAACTACCTCATCATAATCGTTGGATATATGCGATAAAAGTAATATAAATAGGGAAGATTTGATTGTATTTTACGGTCATCTACGGAAAGCTTCACCATATGCGGGTGATAGCCCATAATTTACGCTGACGACGCGCGACGTCGTGGGAAAACAACTACTTAGTTAGAAATATTTCTCACAGTAAACATCATAATTAATATAACATACACGTGTAAGCAACCTTGTTCCATAGCAACTGCAGATTTATAAATAATATTGAAAAAATAAAGAAACAATATTGGAGCTATTCCAACGGTTACTTCGTGTGCGGTCAAATCCCAAAGGAGTCCCCTACGTTTGCATGACTCATGTTTTCGCAATAATTTCAAATGGTCGTGACATTTTTTTTTCTAGAAATTACTGGGAAAGGAACGGAGAACAATGTGCTTGATAGAATTATCAGTATCCGATTGTAATCAGAGGGCAGAGCATAAAAAAACCGGCTTTTGTGTGGCACACATCACAACACACAACATACAATAGTAATTTATAATATCTTATCTGTCAGGAGTGTAGATGATTATTATCTACAATTTACAAAGAGAATTAACCAAATTAAAGTAAGCTAATGACATTTTCTGTATAATGTGCGGAGTATTTTAAACAAAAATGTTTATATGAGTATACATACTTACTTGAACACTTAATAAATACTAAAGCAGTTCCGGCTGGAACAATTTAACTAAATTCCCTTTTTAAATAACCGAGAATCGAATTAAATGTAAAAGTTTAGTTTCAAAAATTCAAACTGTTGTTTTAAACGAAATCAATTATCGCGGTAAGTATACAAGAAGTATTATTAGCTGTTATCCGTGGCTACTCTGCGTCGTCAAATGGAATAAGATTCCCATGTAAGATGTTACTTTCCGGTAATATGTACTCTTACTTTGTAGCTTCTAAATGTTTACTTTTCAGTTGCATACTAAGTACGAATGTGTGACATATTATTTTCTTAGTTCTTTGTAAGTGTCACATTGTGTGGTCTCGACCTCTGTACCCCAATATTGGGTCACCTTCGAGTATCGACGTTTCTCGACGTGTGGGGGACACCTGTCCCCGACTGGCGTTCCTCCAACCCTGCACGTGCCGACGCACACGATTCTATTAGGGTTATCAGGAAAGAAAACATGACCAAGATATTTATTAGTAGGTAATTTTAATGTAGCAACATCGAGTAAATGTTTAAATAAATTATTTTGGGTTACTGAACTGTTGGACAAATATAAGTATTCTCTAAAGCTTAGCAACGTAAATGTCGAATAAATTTTAGTTGCATTGAACCTTTCGGCAGAGATTGCAACTACGAAGCAGCACAGTGTGTGATTGCAATTGAACTGAACTGCAAGATTTTTACAAACACATCCTGTGTAATATATACTAATATTATAAAGCTGAAGAGTTTGTTTGTTTGAACGCACTAATCTCCGGAACTACTGGTTCGAATTGAAAAATTCTTTTTGCGTTTAATAGACCATTCATTGAGGAAGTCTTTAAGCTATATAACATCGCGCTGCAACTATCAGGAGCGAAGAAATAATGGAAAACGCAGACGAAGTCGCTGGCGGCCACTAGTATAATATAGTTATAATACGAGGGTCAAACTGAAAGTTCTTAGAAAATTAAAAACTGATTACATTAGCCAGTTATTAGTTTTATTATATCTTTTCAAAATATTGTCCATTCACGTCAATACACCGCTGCATGCGATGGAACCACTGGGAAAAGCACTTTGCCCACTCGTCCTTAGGGGTCTCTTCAATGGCATCGCGATACGCAGCCACCGCTTCTTCAGCATTCATAAACCGCTTTCCTTTAAGTTTTTCTTTAATTTTTGGAAATAAATAAAAATCACAAGGCGCGAGGTCGGGGCTATACGGCGGGTGACCCAGTAATTCAACGTTTGATGTCGCCAAATAGTCGATCGTTCGCTTGGCGGTGTGCGACGAGGCGTTGTCGTGGTGAAGGAGGATCCTACTGCGAGGTCGTTTCTCTCGAACTTTTTCCAAGACAAGTGGCAAACAATTGGTAGTGTATCATTCTGCAGAAACTGTTTTTTGATCCTCTAACACAATTGTTGCAAAATGACATATCCTTCCAAAGAACGAGGCCACCATTTTTTTTCCCGCACTTCGATCTCTCTTCACTTTAGTTGGCAACTCCTCGAAAGGAAACACCCACTGAGCAGATTGTCTTTTGGTTTTAGGATCATAACAGTAAATCCAGCTTTCGTCACCTGTTAGTATGTCGAACACAGCATTTGAGTCACCTCCGTTAAATCTTTCAATCATTTTACGACACCAATCCACACGATGGAGTTTTTGAGCCTCAGTCAAATTATGAGGTATCCACCGGGCGCAAAGCTTCCTGACCGCTAAATGTTCGTGGAGGATTTTGTGCACTT